ATTAAAAACAAAAAAGTCTATACAAAACTTGTATGTGAATGTTTATAGAAGGCTTATTCATAATCACCAAAAACTAAAAATAATCAAACAACTATCAATTGATAAATGAAAAAATAAGTTGTGGAACATCCGCACAATGAAACACTCTTCAGCAGTAAAAAAAAAAAAAAAAAAGAACAAATTACTGACATATGCAAAACTATGGGTGGGGCACCTGGGTGGCTCAGTCGGTGAGGTATCTGCCTTCAGCTCAGGTCATGATCCTGGGGTCCAGGGATCGAGTCCCATGTGGGGCTCCCTGCTCAGGGGATGTCTGTTTGTCCCTCTCCCTCTGCCTCTCGATCCCTCATGCTTGCTTATTTGAGAATAAATAAAATCTTGAAAAAAAAAAAATCTATGGGTGAGCCTCAGAAGTATTACACAAGGTTTGTAAGAAGCCAGACTGAAAAGGCTACCTCCTGGGTATGACTCCATTTATATGACATTCTGGAAAAGGCAAAACTATGAGGAGAGAAAACAGACCAGTGGTTGCCAGGGGCTGTGGGCTAGGAGAAGGGGATTGATGACAAAGGGGTACAAGTGCACTTTTCAGAGCGACGAACCATTCTATATCTTGATGGCAGTGGGGTGGTTACATGACTATGTGTTTGTCAAAGCTCGGAGGGAGTTCTACTAAATGTAGATGACAGGTCAATAAACCTAACTTAAAAAAAAAAGTCAAGCCATGTATTATGAAACACAAATATAAATAAATCTTCAAAACTAAGTGTCAGCCTGGGTTCCTTAGAAAATAGAGCCTAGTCAAAACGTACACCATAGGGGCACTTGTGTGGCTCAGTAGGTTAAGCATCTGACTCTTGATTTCAGCTCAGGTCATGATCTCAGAGTTATGGAATCGAGCCCCGGGTCAGGCTCCGCACTCAGCAGGGAGTCTCCTTGGGATTCTCTCTCTCCCTCTCTCTCTCTTTCTTTCTCAAATAAATAAATCTTTAGAAAAAAATCTATGCCCTAACACTTCACTGTAATCCCAGGGAGGCAAGGGTGAGGGAAAAGGTGAAGTGAATCAAGGAAGGAGGTGTGTGTTACTGATCCTCAACCAGTCACAGCTCCGGGGGGACCTCTCCAGAGAGGCCATATAGAGCCCACTGCTTGTTGACATACTCCATCAGGAGGAACAAAGGCAGCTATCTGTCTCGTCTTTCATTTGTCAAATCTTGCCCCATGCAATAAACTCCCCCCCAACTTCCCTGTTGCATTACCCAGACCCCCGCATCCAATTTCTGGGGAAGCCGGCACTTCAACAGGTCCTTCAGATCAGCACCGTGCACCAGGGCCGCAGCAGCTCCCACCCTAAAGAGCATGGTGGAGGCCCTGCCTAGAATCGGCTCTCCTGCCAGGGAAAGCATGTGACCGCAAGTGTTAGGAGATGGGCTATAGGGACAGGGTCTGGCTGTATGACAGCAGGGATCAGTGGTGTGAGCCATCACTAAAGAAGGGTGACAAGGGGCCAGGGCCTGAACTGGGTCTGGAATAGTGGACTCAAACTAATGTATTCTCTAAACTTAGAGAGTAACTTAATTTTTAAGAATATTCCAAAGATATACTCAGGAAACTCCAAGTAAACAATTTCTACCTATCAAATCTATTCATGTGGCGACCTCCCTGACCTTTATATGACAAACAAATTCAGATCTCTGAGGTGTAAGTCCTACATCTGGTTGAGACGTGTGTGAGCATCTCCCATAGAAAGCAGACTTGGCACCTCTGAATAAGGCCATCCCCTGGACAGATCACAGGGCTCATGCATGGCCCACCTGCCAGGGCAAGGATGCTACACTTCAGAAAATAATAAATTCTAGTTAAAATTCAAAATCTAAAGACTATCTCTCTAATCCTGCCCACGAAATGTCCACGCAAATGTATGACAGTTCATGGAACCCAAAAGAGCTCAACTCTGTATTTTATAATGGGCTGGTATTTTGCTTTACACAATATAGTGAGTGTCTGCTATGTGCTTTTACATGTGTTATCTTATTTAATCTTCACAACGACCTTAGGGCGTAGAGTATATTACTGCCCCCGTTACAGATGAGGATACTCAAGCATATAGATGTGAGCACTTTGCCCATGGCCAGTTAAGTGGTAGGGCCAGGATCTGAACTCAGGTGGTCTGACCTGATAGCCTCCTACTCTCAGTCAGTCATTTGACAGATAGATGAGTACCTGCCAGGAGCTGGAGAGAAGGAGATGCATGGCCCCCTGCCCACACGGAGTTTACAGTCTATGGGAATGACAAGCATTGAACAATTACAAGTAGACAAAGAGGACGCACAGAGTGCTATGGGAGCTCATACCTCGTGCCTCATACAGGCTAGGGTCCAAAGTATGTAGTCATTAATATCAACTATCAAGGTCAAATCTATAAGCCCACATATTCAGGAGAAAAGCAAGCTAGGAAGCACTGGTGTCTCTGGTTATTATATGTACATACTTGTATGTATTCATACAGTGGTCATTTTCCAAGCCCAGGCAGATTCTGATAAATAATTTTTTCTAAAACATTAACAGATTTACACGAAAAATATTACCCACGTTAAGTGAAGTTAACTACATACATTCATTTAATCATCTTCATTTAAAAAAAACAAAATATATAAATTCTGGTAGCGCCTATACAGTGACTAATGGATGAATTACAGCCCTAATACGCGGGGTGTGATTTAGTGTTTTGTTCAAGATTCCTGGTTGTTTTAACTGCAAGATAACTCTTTCATATAGATAATTCTCCGATGGATGGACAAACTTCATACTCTAAAATAAGGTTTCTAGGAATCAACTTCCTGGCTTGCTTGAGGAGAGAGTCCAACATAGCCGTGAGGAGCCCAATTCTGGCATCGGACCAACCTGGACTGGATTCCAGGTCTGTCACTTACTATATACTACCGAGCAGTCTTGATTTCTTCATCTGTAAAATGTGATAAAAATGGTTCATAGCTCAAGGGAGCATTATGAAGACAAAATGAGAAAATGCATGTCAAAGTGCTCAGCACAGTTCTTGACCCACAGTATGCACCTAATACATGGGAGCTGCCAATTCTATTACTAGCCCTCTAAGTAGTTGACAGCTGGGAAAAAAGACAGAGAGAAGAAATCATAAATGGAGGGTGTGTGAATGAGATGAAATGGTTAGGGAGAATGGCCTCATCAGAGAGCCCCAGGGTAGCAGGAAGGTCAGCAGAGTGGGAAGAACCAGGTTAACCCTGCATGCAGAGCCCTCATTGGAAAGGAGCTGGGCAAATGGAAGCCAACAGGAGGTTAGTAATTAGATAGTTAATTCGTGTTTAAGAGAAGAGAAATTTAATGTGAGTGATTAAAACAATAATTCCGGGACGCCTGGGTGGCTCAGTCAGTTACGCGGCTGCCTTCAGCTCAGGTCATGATCCCAGGGTCCTGGGATCGAGCACCGCACCGGGCTCCCTGTTCCGCGGGAAGCCTGCTTCTCCCTCTGCTTATGCTTTCTCTCTCTCTCTCTGACAAATAAATAAATAAAATCTTTAAAAAAATAAATAAATAATTTAAAAAATAAATAAAACAACAATCCCAATCTGGCTTTGTCTCCTGCCTGAGCAGCACCTGGAACATAGGTCAGTGGGGAGAAGAGGTGATTCAAACTAGCCAGTGTTTGCGGGACTGTCCTAATTGCCCTCATCAACAGGTATATGTGAGCCTCGGGTGAAGCAAACCTCGGCTCACAAGACATATGATAAAAGCCACAAGATGGAAGGGGACTCAGAAATTCTTCAAACTGGTGGTCTTCAAGTTTTTAAGCTGCAAAACATTTTCACAAAAGAAAGAGGTGAATGCAAAGGTAAAGATGCGCAGCTACTCAGAGCCCTGCAGCGGAGGGGGCCCCAGAACCCAGGCTGCTCAGGTCTCCTTCCACCTGCCCACATCCTGGCTGTGGCCCCTGAAGTATCACCCCCTGTCGAGGCATGGAGACCACAGGTCAGAAAGGAGAGGAGACTTCCACAGGGTTGCCACCGGAGAAGGCAAAGCCAGGAGTAGAATCTGACCAGTCTTCCAACGGCCAGTCCGGTTCTCTTTTTCCCACCCAACGCGACCCTCTGGACTAACATACGAAAAGGAAGAGGAAGAAAGTAAACCACTTTCTTGGGAAAAACATCCAAATGGAAGGCTGGCGGGCAACGAAGTCTGGCACTGACAGCTGGGCCTCACTAATCTGCATACGAACAAAATGGCGCGGCCAACGATGGCTGGCTGGAGTCACCAAAACAGTCTTTTGAACGTTAAAGCAAATTAAACCAAAAGAAAAAAAAAAGGACTTCACAGCGAATGTCTAACAGATTCACATTTACAATTATACTGCGTATGCATGCCCACAATTACACTTTGGAGCAAGTTTAAGCCACATTAATGGGACTGAGGGAGAATGAAAAAAGGGAATGAAGACCCAACAAAGTTCAGTACGGTGACTAATGGATGAATTACAACCCTATGACACAGGGAGTGATTTAGTGTTTTGTTCACAGAACCTCAGCTTAGAGCATCTGGTTGTACTTTAAAGCGGCTGTTTTCTAAAATCAAAGGTCAAGTTAAATGCTTCCTTCTCAGACCGGTATGTTATGGAGTTCAGGGTTCATATAAACACGGGTAAATGATTTTCTAAAGTACCATCACTTCCCTCTGCTTAAGAAACCAGTGACGTAGGGAGAGCCCTCGAAATCCAGCTCCTTTGTGGCCTGCACAAATTCAACCTCCCCGGTGGCTCACTGGGCCTGAGGTGACCACCATACAAGCCTGAAGGCCCAGAGAAATCCTGTCACCCTGCAGCCTGTGAGACCCCATTATTCTGCACTGCATTTGTACCTTTTCATTCCATAAAAGGAGGATTTATGGAACCCAGAGAGAAACCACCCAGTCGTTTGACATCGATTAGGTCCTGGCGTTTAGCCACATCACCTCCCTCCAGAGCATCTCACCTCCTCCAGCTTAAAAACTGCTCCGATGTGTGGCTGGATGCGCCCTTGCTGGCAGTACTGAAGAGCCGAGGACAGGGCTCTGGAGAAGACGGGAAAGTTCTGCTCTTTGTATCGGCCCCAGTACAGCCCCATGGCAGAGACATTCTTCAAGAGCAAAAGGTTGGCCGGCACAGAAGCAATGGTTCCTCCAGCAAAACCCACCACCACGATCCTGCCCTCCCATGCCAGGCTGGGAAGAAAGGACAAGGAAAAGAAATTATTTTAAAAAACAACATATATATATTCACACTCACTGGAATAGCTACTATAAACAACCACCACCACAACAGGAAATAACAAGTGTTAGCAAGGATATAGGGAAACCCTCATGTACTATTGGTGGGACTGTAAAATGGTGCAACTGGAAAACAGTATGGAGGTTCCTCAGAAAATTAAAAATAGAACTACCGTATAATCGAGCAATGCCTCTCTGGGTCTTAATCCAAAATCACTGAAAACAGGGTCTTGGAGAGATAGTTGCACTCTTGAGCCCACAGCAGCACTATCTACCACAGCCAAGAAGGAGAAGCAACACAAATGTCCATCAGCCAATAGATGGATAAACAAAATGTGTTATATACATACAACAGGATATTGTTCAGCCTTAAACAGGAAGGAAATGCTGTCACATGCTATGACATGGATGAACCTTGAGGACATCAGGCTAAATGAAATAAGCGAGTCACAAAAAGACAAATACTGTATGATTTACTTATATGAGATATCTAAAGTATTCAAATTCATAGAAACAGAAAGTAAAATGGCGGTGACCAGGGGCTGGGGGGAGGGAGAAATAGGAATTATTATTTAATGGGTAAAGAATTTTAGATTTGCAAGATGAAAAAGTGATGGACATCTGTTTCACAACAATGTAAATATACTTTACAGAACTATATACTTAAAAATGGTTAATGTAAAAAAATGGTTAATATAGCAAATTTGACATTATGTATTTTTTTAATCACAATAAAAAGGGTAGAATGAAAAAAGCAATCTACATGAATTTACAGAGATAAAAAAATAGAAGCTATCAGGGAGGTGGGGGAGGAGAGGAACAGTTACTATTTAACAGGTGCAGAGTCTTTGCTGGGGACAGGGACACAACATTGCGAGCATACTTAATGCCACTGAATTTTACATTAACAAATGTTTATAATGTTACGTGTATTTTACCACAACTTAAAAAAAAAAAAAAAGCAACATGCATTAAACCCCCAGCTGGGAATTCCTCTTGACCTGACAAACTGGCAGGGGTGAACCATTCTATAGCACTTTGGATTCTTCAGTAGGAAAACATAAAAATAAGCCATAAGCAGGGCACCTGGGTGGCTCAGTTGGCTAAGCAACTGCCTTCAACTCCTGGGATCAAGTGCCTCATCAGGCTCCCCGCTCAGCAGGGAGTTTGCTTCTCCCTCTCCCTCTGCTGCTCCCCCTGATTGTGCTCTCTCCTTCTATCAAATAAATAAATAAAAATCTTCTTAAAAAATTTGTAAACATCTTTGATACACAATATGTGTATCTTTTTTTTTTTTAAGGTTTTTTAACTGACGGAGAGACAGAGACAGACAGAGAGAGAGGGAACACAAGCAGGGGGAGTGGGAGAAGGAGAAGCAGGCCTCCCGCCGAGCAGGCAGCCCGATGCGGGGCTCGATCCCAGGACCCTGGGACCATGACCTGAGCCGAAGGCAGTCGCTTAACCAACTGAGCCACCCAGGCGCCCCGACAATATGTGTATCTTTGTTTGGTTTTTGCTTTTTGTTTTTTTTTTCTTTAGAGGGAAATGAGAAGTGCTTGTGATAACACTGTTAGCCGTTACCCAGAAGGCAAGAGGGATGTGAGAACTAGCAGCCGTCTGTCCTGGCTCTCTGTGGAGTCAACACCTTCCTGTCTTTGCTTCTCTGAGCATAGCAGCACCCAGCACGGTGCACTGATGCTCAGGGGCCACAGAACCAACTGCGTCCCTTCCGTGGGTACGCTGTTCTGTCCGCTTCTGTTTCTTCAACTTTGAACTGACATAAACCACAAAACTGTGCTGGCTAGGATGATGGGAGAAATGAAACCAGTATTAATGGAACACTCCAGAGTCCCTGGTTAAAAACAGAATGAGAATTGGTGTGGATACAACAGTCCCACTAAAACTCACTGGCTGCTTCTGAAACCAGTGAGATCAAGAGTCTGTACTTTGGTGCATGGTGAGCTAGGGACCTGCCACCACCCCCGCCCCCCGGGGTCATGCTAACATCTGCATGATGATCCCCAGAATTACCCACACTACGTATAATATAAAGTAGTTAATGGGGCCCAGCATAGCTGAATTTAACACATGCATAATTTCTAAAGCATTCAATATTGCCAAGAAGAGAGTCTGCAGTCATTTTTTGGATATTTTCCAGTTGGATATCTTGTTTTTCTATATTTAAGCATTTCCTGATTTCCCTCTGCTTCTATTCCTTTTCACCCTCCCACTCAGCTGTTCTCGTTGATACCAAAGCCTACAGGAAAAGTGAGCAGCAAAAATGGAAGAGAAGTAAGGCCAGAAGGCAGGCAGGTCTGGAAAGGTTTCAGCAGACGCCCAGGTCCAGCCCCCTCTGGAAAGACCACCACACGCACCTGCGGAGCGCCTCCAGGAAGACATCTCCTCCCACAGTGTCGATGGCCACGTTCACCCCCCCACTGCCCACCAGCTTCCTCACTGCCTCCTTCAGGCCGCCCTGACCATAGTTCACAGTGGACTGTGCGCCCTTCTGCATCGCCAGCTTGCACTTCTCGTCACTTCCGGCTGCAGCTATCACCTGCACAGAGAACACAAAGCTTCTGATGATCCAGAATGTGTACCAAGAGGGGCTCACCCTACCCACCCAGCTTCCCACCAAAGGGTACTAACCGAGGAAACCAACGTGACCTTGCTGCCCTAGCATCAGCCTCAATCCCACACGTCAAGGCCAACGCTCAGCACCATCACACTGGCCCCTCCACGCCCACTGGCCATGGGATTCACATTGCCAGGAATCCTGGAACCCCATTGAGTCTAGCTAGGAGATGCTTCAGGAGACACTCAGAACGTCTTCTCCAAATATGGATGAAACCGTCATTTCCTGAGCACCTACTATGAGTCAAGTAATAAAGATACCCAAGCCTAGAGTCAAGAGAGCAAGATACAGCAACGTGAAGGTGGGGAAGAACAGAGGGCTGCAGAAGTGCAAACGAGAGGTAGTCAATCTCGATCGAGATCTCGAAAGGCTTCTCAGAGGGAAAAACATGATTCAGTAAAAAGATCTTCAAGTTGGAAAGACCTGAGTTCAAATCCCGGCTCTGCTACTAACTAGCAGTGTTACCTAAGACAAATGTAATACTTACATAATGCTCACTATGTGCCAGGTACTCTTCTAAATGCTTTACATAGATTCATAACTCACTTAGTCTTAATAACCCGATGATTCACACACTATGAGCATCCCCATATTAGAGATGAAGAAACTGAAGCAAAAGAAGTTAAGTAACCTGCTCAAGGTCACACAGCTAATGGGAGGCAGAACTGGGATCAAGCCCAGGTTGTCCATCTCCAGAGTTCATGCTTTTAACCTCTATGCTGCCCACCAGCTTCCCTAAGCTTCAGTTACCTCATCCGTAAAACAAGATTTATTTTAAAAATCAAATCGAATACTGTACATAAGGCACTTGAAAAATAAAGTGCTAGATAAATGGAATTTATTGTTACACATACACAATCATGTATTCTATTTAAACCTCATAAGAACATTATGGGGGCAGTATAATTACGCCCATTCTATAGATGGCGCCACAGACATAGAGGTTAAGCAATTAACCCAGGCCCAGCACCCACCAGCCCAAGCAGTTGGGCCCCAAGGTGACATTCAGAACTTGCATTCAAACACACAAGATCATCAGTGCCCTTAGAAGATTTCAAACTCACCCAGAACTATTTGAACCTGAAAGCTACCCTCAAGTACCTTCACACAACACCAGAGGGCAGACACCGGCCTAGGGTCAGGGAGTTGACACCAATCTCGATTCTCAGAAGGGTGCCAATGAGACCTGCCACGAACCCGTCTCCCCTGGTGCCTTACTTTATCTGTGAAATAGGGATAATAAACACATTACCCATCTCCAGGGGTTTGTTAGGATCAGGGGTAAGATAATTGGTGTGGAGGCACTTTGAAAGCAATACGAAATGCTGTGAATGGAGGTTGTTCTCAAAATAACCTGTTCCAAGTAGGTGGCATGATGACATTTTTTAAGTTATTTTTATTATTTTCTTGTTGTTCACTTTTGCTGAAAACCATTATGGCTACGAAAGAACATACAGCTTGGGTTAATTTTAATATCGGGGTTGAAGTGAATTTTTCTCTCTACTTAACCTACTATCACTAATCAAAACAAATGGTGCAATTTTATCATCCTAGAAATGGTAAACAGTCAGTGGTTCTAGACAAGGAGACTAATTTTGGTCTCCCCACTGAGAGGTGCTAAAAGCCCTTGCTTTGACATGAAATGTGTTAATATTCCATGGAGAGCCTCCTGGTAGCTAAGATTGCTTTCAGAACTCACATGTCCTTCCCAAAGAGAAATTAATGCGAGAAAGGAAAGACGCCACCTGAAGAAATTCCAGAGCAATCCAATTATCTCCAAACCTGGGTATCTCGGTGCCTTCTGGATATCCCAACTGCACGCGCCACAGAAACCTCACACTTAATGCTTCCAAAACTGAGCTCACCATTCCCTCCTGTGTTCTCAACTGCAATAAACGGCAAATCCACAAGTTAACCTAGTTTGCTCCTTCCCACTCAATGTCTAATAATAACAGGTTCCCTTTTTAAGAGATTCTTACCAACATGCCATGCCCTCTAGCAGGCATACTGCACGTGTAATTTCAATATTCCCACAACGACTCCATATGAGGAAAGCTTTATTTTACCAATGAGGAAACTGAAGCAATTAAGCTGGAGGCAGCATTGGAATCTGAACCTAGGTCAGACTGATTTCAAAGCCCTTGTTCTTTCAACTATATGAGGATCAAACTCTCTGTTTTCTTCTACTTTAGCACCTCCCGATTCATTGCTTCCAGTGCCTTGGTTCAAGTACCATCACCACCGGCCTGGATTGCTCTCAGAGGCTCCCTACTTCCTCCAGACTACCCCTGACCTTGCCCCATCTCGCATCCCCACTGCTACCAGAATGCACTTGGCAAAATGTAAATATGATCATGGCACTTCCCGGTTCAAAGTCCTTAGTGGCTCCTGAGAGCTTCCAATAAGGGTTCAAATTCTTCCGCACCTCATGATCATGTCTCTGTCTTCCTCCCTAGAGTCATCTCCCTCCATTCCCCTCCTCATCCCCCCTCCCCAGATCCTTTGCTCCACAGATGCTACTTGCTTGCAATTCCCTGAATGCATCCTGGGAGATCTCATGTCTCTGTCTTCTGACATGCCCTCCCACCACTAAAATGGCCTTCACCTCCCTTCTTCCTCTATTCAACTGCTACCAGTCCTTCAGAAGTCGCCTTAAATGCCTCCTGTCTCCAAGAAATCCTCTCCTTATCTGAACATCCACAGCCTCAGAGCAATGCCCCTGCAGAGAATTGGGTCTTTCTTTCCTTTGTTTATTCTTTCATTCAAGAAATAGTTATTGAGGGGCATCTGAGTGACTCAGTTGGTTAAGCGTCTGCCTTCGGCTCAGGTCATGGTCCCAGAGTCCTGGGATCGAGTCCTCCTGGGATCGAGTCCCGCATCAGGTTCCTCACTCAGCGGGGAGCCTGCTTCTCCCTCTGCCTCTGCCTGCCACTCCCCCTGCTTGTGCTCTCTCTCTCTCTGTCAAATAAGTAAATAAAATCTTTAAAAAACAATAGTTACTGAGTGACTACTATGGTCTAGGTACATGCCAACTGCTGGGATTATAGTAATGAGCCAAACAGACACTGTCCCTGCCTTCATGGGGATTCCAGTCAAGTAGGAGGGCAACAGTAACCCAGTCATGACCCAAGAAAAGGATTAACCACACACTGGGGTATGTACCATGAAAGAGAAGTATAGGATGTGAGGAGACCATCTACAAACAGCTGGGTGTGGAGGGGGCAGAGGAGAGATTAACATCTCCTGAGGGACAAAGTTTAAATTTTTTTTTTTAAGATTTTTTTTTATTTATTTATTTTATTTGAGAGAGAGAGAGAGAGCGAGCATAAGAGGGGGGAGGGTCAAAGGGAGAAGCAGACTCCCTGCCGAGCAGGGAGCCCGATGCAGGACTCGATCCCGGGACTCCGGGACCATGACCTGAGCCGAAGGCAGTCGCTCAACCAACTGAGCCACCCAGGCGCCCGAAAGTTTAAATTTGAAGTGCAGAGTGGCACCTGGGTGGCTCAGTCGGTTAAGCGGTTAAACATCTGCCTTCGGTTCAGGTCATGATCCCAAGGTCCTGGGATCAAGTCCCATATCAGCCTCCCTGCTCAGCGGGAGCCTGCTTCTCCCTCTGCCCCTCCCCCTGCTTGTGCTGTCTTTCTCTCTCTGTCAAATGAATAAATTAAATATATATATATATTTTAAAATAAATAAATAAATAATAAATTTTAAGTGCAGAGGTTGACAGTTCAGAAGAGCATTACAGGTCGAGGGAACAGAATCTGCGGAGGCCACGAAGCAAGTCAGCTCTCGCCAGGTTCCAGTAACTGGAAGGACGAGTGATCTATTCCCATGTCCCCTCACCAGTCTGCGGGCAAATAGATGGCAAGATCCTACCCTGGGTTACTTTATATCCCCAGGGCCTTGCCCACGATATTTATGAACGAGTGAATGAATATACTCTATGTTTGAAAACCAGAGGTATGATTTTTTGTAAACAGAGACTCTAACATGCAAATACCTGAGCCTGAAGAACGTTCGTTGCCACATCTACCACCGCCAGGCCTGTGGCCCCAGCTGCTGCCGTCACTAGAACAGTTTCTCTGCCAGAGAAAGATGAACGTTACCTCAGAAACCCTCAAAAATCATCCAATCATATGATTTCATGAACATTTTAAAGCAAGAAGAGGACTTAAAGCCCATTTCATTCAGCCCTTCATGGACACCCATTCTCCGGGCTTTGGGGCTGGCTTATATATGTGACTGCCTGATCGGTGCAAATTTGGTCCACTTGAAGACTTCCCAGGAAAAATATCCCTTAATCTCTCTAGGGAGCCTCTTCCTCATGACAAGGGCAACTCTTCCTTTGGCCTACCACTCCAATTTCTGCTTCAGAAATTCTGTCCTAAGATCACACTCATACTAAACATTGCTGAAGTTTAGAAGGTGGTGATCAAGGAATGGCCACTATTCAGTTAAAGTCACCTCTCTGGAGAAATTCTGATCTCTCTGAAAAGGGCAAGAGGCAAATATTGCAGGTAAAGTGGGAAACTTCTGCACCTTTGAATTTGAAATACCCTAGTTAGGCACACCCAACCACGCCTCACAGAAACAAATACCACAGGACTCCATTAAAACCAGACTAAAACAAGTTTACATAAACCAACTCTCTAAAATGTAAGGTTTGAGGGCGCCTGGGTGGCTCAGTTGGTTGGACGACTGCCTTCGGCTCAGGTCATGATCCTGGAGTCCCGGGATCGAGTCCCACGTCGGGCTTCCTGCTCAGCGGGGAGTCTGCTTCTCCCTCTGACCCTCTTCCCTCTCGTGCTTTCTATCTGTCATTCTCTCTCTCAAATAAATAAATAAAATCTTTAAAAAAAATAAAATAAAATAAAATAAAATGTAAGGTTTGAGGCACCTGGGTAGCTCAGTTGGTTAGCATCTCCCTTTGGCTCAGGTCATGATCCTGGACTCCCAGGATCAAGTCCCACATCGGGCTCTCTGCTCAGCAGGGAGTCTGCTTCTCCCTCTGACCCTCCCCCCTCTCTTGCTTTCTCTCTTTCACTCTCTCTCTCTCTCTCAAATGAATAGACAAAATCTTTTTAAAAATGTAAGGTTTTCAGGGTACCTGGGTGGCTCAGTTGATTAAGCATCTGCCTTAAGGGTCCTGGGATTGAGCCCCATGTCAGGCTCCCTGCTCGGAGTCTGCTTCTCCCTCTCCCTCTGCTTGTCTCTCCCGCTGTTTGTGTGCTCTCTCTCTCTCTGTGTCAAGTAAATAAATAAAATCTTTTAAAAAATAATAAAAGAAATGAAGGAGAAGAAAATGTAAGGTTTGGGGCACCTGGGTGGCTCAGTCCTTAAGCGATTGCCTTAGGCTCAGGTCATGGTCCCAGGGTCCTGGGATCAAGCCCCGCATCAGGCTCCCTGCTCCACGGGAAGCCTGCTTCTCCCTCTCCCACTCCCCCTGCTTGTGTTCCCTCTCACTGTGTCTCTCTCTGTCAAATAAATAAATAAAATCTTTAAAAAGGAAAGAAAGAAAGAAAGAAAGAAAGAAAGAAAGAAAGAAAGAAAGAAAGAAAGAAAGAAAGAAAGAAAATGTAAGGTTTTCTAGGAGGTGATCTCTAGAGTGGCCAGGTTCAAAAGAGCTATTTCCCCAAATTCATATTGGACAAGTTCACAGTCTATCATTCCATCTCAGACACTGGACCCCTATCTCAGGTCACTACCTTCCTTTGGCCTTTCCTGACACCAACTGAACAAGAGCTAAAGGTTAGGGAGGGGAGGGGAAGGGGCAAGGTCTTGCTGGGCACTTCTGATCTCAGAAGGAGATATTAGCCCTGGGTTGTCTACAGAGCCTCTTACCCAGGCTGAGTGCATGCCCGATGCTCCAAGGCCAAAATAGCAGTGCCATAAGATACAGGCAGGGTAGCAGCTTCTCGGAGGGGGACCCTTTCTGGAATCTGCCACAGTGTCTGTAAAAAGAGATAACAGTAACTTAGGGATTAAGCACATGTACCTGTTCATAAAGGCTGCTCAGTAAACATTATGATCCGATTGAGTGACTGATTTGTAAAGGAACCAAGCCTGTCAGGAACCAAAACCCACCAGAAGTCAAAACCAAGCAAGGTGTGACAGAGTTCAAAACCTGGGTATATGGGTCTTCACAAATCCCAAGGCTGGCATCTAGCTCGGGATGGAACCACGTTTCAGAGAATGGAACTGTACTGTAATCGATGAATCGGATGGTTGTTATGTCCTTTTTACCTCAATAAAGCTGTGGGGGAAAAATGTGTACTCTTCACCACTAGGGGCCGCCATTCACATCCTATACATGCCTACCCCACCACCCTGGCTGGCGCCATTCCCAAGACTAGCTCTTTCACAAACGTGATGTGGGGGAGAAACCTATTATATCCAGCTCAATGCCCCAAACCAGTTTTTCTACCAAAACTACCTATGGTCCAATTGGACGGCCAGCCAGTTGCCCCAGGACTCGCAAAACAAAATGCCCTTCTTCATCTCACCACTCCACACAAACAAAGCTCTGTGCGGGGTTGTCACTCCAACAGAGAAAAGGCTTTAGCATTTGAAAGAAAGAAGTGCTTGGCTGAGAAACAAATACAAAGAAGGAAGAGAGAAGAGTAACAAGGAATGAGAGCTAGGTGAAGATTAAAGAAAAGAAAGGAGAAAAAAAATCTCCAAGCAGACAGACTGAGAGCTAGGGATACCTTTGGGTCAATGATGCATTCTTCAGCCATACCATTAAAGCCACTCACGCCAATAACTCGGTCTCCCTGAAGAGAAAACATGAAGGGCTTCTTCAAATGCATGGCCTTGCTGTTTACCTCTTACAAATTAATCAAAAAAAGAAAGAAAATCTTTCTTCCTGACCCATAAGACACAGGTTTGCCAAAATCATCTATTCAGAGTTAATGTTTAGTAAATAATTCAACCATCTTCTCAATACCCCCACCAGGATGCCAAGACAATATGAGCACATTTTGGACAGGACAGAGTAAGGAAAAAGTTGAAATAAATTAGAATCCCAGAATCTTTTTCACAAGAGACTGAAACTTGAGAATGTTCTATCCTCTCAGTAACTGAAGACTGAGGTCAGCACCTCAGTCTTCTTTAGTAATACAAGGTTTTACGAAGCCAGGAACTTCCACCGGCTTCCTTCCTCCAATTCAGAATTAGTTTCTTCCCCCTTCATCTCGGTTTCCCTCTGGTGTCTGTTGGCAAAGGCCAAGAGAAGCAAGACGCTTTGGCTGCAAATGAGGTTAGAACATTTCTCATGGCTACACACACAATTCCCTAGATTTCAACTCATTTACCTCTTTCACTGTGCTGACATCTGTGCCTGTCTCCAGGACAGTCCCAGAAAACTCCATTCCTAAAACAAATTGTTGAAACACTAGGTTATCTATAAAGCCCAGCACCATGGAGACGAGAACAGCCTGATCAACAGGCCATCCCATCCGCTTTTTAGAGCTGAGAGGGCTTAAGTGTCCCCCCACGACCCCCCAGGGGAAGAGCATTGTACCCAAAGCACAGGAAAGTGAACTTAAGATTTCATGATCACAACCTGAAAGGTGATAGTCCCATTCTTACCAATTTACAAATGAAAATTTCAAGAATGGGCAAAAACACAGAGAATCACAGATACACCAGGCCTTTTTTTGATCCTGCTCACGGGGGCCTTGGGCTCTTTACAGCACCCCAATTACAATGTTCATCATAGTGTATCTGTTTCTGTATCTCCTCTTGTAGACTGTGAGGCCCTCAAGGACATGAACTGTATTTATTCATACAGTACGTGGCTCAATTTGGATGAATTGATGTCGTCTGCTCTTTCCTCTTCCACCTCCAAAATTTCTGAATTTAATGATCATACATTTCCCACTTGAGCTGCCAAAGGAATAACTCAATTGACTATGACATTTTCCCCCCCACCCAGCGTGTCAGCAAATACAAACAGAGGGAAATGGTTCCAAATGTTGAAACACAACAAAACACAGCAACTATTTTGCAATCACTGTATCCTTCATAGTGTATGTCTGTATACAATATGCATGTACCATCCTATCTCTTTAAATTTCAACAACAAAAAGCAGTCATTTTTCCACATATTCAGTGTCTAAATGTAATCAGATTGGGCATAATTAAAATCAGACAGTGGACTGCTAGAAATGTATAAACTTTTTCTTCTTTCTGATCCTCTGATATTAGTTTTCTTTGGGAATATGTGTTTGTGAGGGCTGACAGTTTTAGCTGCAAACATGTTTATGATCCTTCAGTGAAAAAACAATACTGAGGCACTCACAAGGAATGAGAGTGACGAGGACCAATGAGGATTCCGATCAGAATTCTGCCAGACGTGATACGTAAAAATTCATTTGTTCATTTATGTGTTGTTAACGTCTTTATTGAGCATCTACTATGAGCCAGGCACAATACTAAGATGGGGGATGAAACTAGGGGCCAGACAGTCATAGAACCTTCCCACAAGAGGCTCACTTGTGCTTCTAATCAGTGGTGAGGCTGAGTATCTGAAGCATCACTGTGGGCAGGCAAGCAACACCAGCATCATGCCTGAGAAGCACACAGTTCTGAAAGCTCTGTAGCTTCTCTCCAGAGCAGTCACTTGGCCCCTTCATACTCACCAGGTGTGAAGGGAAGTTGGGGCTTTTCCTGATACTGACCACGGCAGACCAAAATATCAGCAAAATTAACTCCACAGAAATGGACATCAACTCTGACCTGCAAAGGAAACATAGCAACAGGACGCTCCTGGGTGGCTCACTTGGTTCATCGACGGCTGTTAATCAGCTCAGGTCCTGATCCCGGGGTCCTTGGACTGAGCTCCGTGTTGGGCTCCCTGCTCCACGGGAAGCCTGCTTCTCCTTCTCCCACTCCCCCTCTGCTCCTGCTCTCTCTCAATCGCGCTCGCTCTCTCACTTTCTCCCAAATAAATAAAATCTTTAGAGAAGGGGCGCCTGGGTGGCTCAGTCGGTTAAGCGGCTGCCTTCGGCTCAGGTCATGATCCCTGGGATCGAGCCCCGCATTGGGCTCCCTGCTCAGCGGAAAGCCTGCTTCTCCCTCTCCCACTCCCCCTGCTTGTGTTCCTGCTCTCGCTATCTCTCTCTCTGTCAAATAAATAAATAAAATCTTAAAAAAAAAAATCTTTAGGGTAAAAAAAAAAGTAGGGGGTGGAGGGGAAGAGCAGCAAAGAAGAGTGGTGCATGTCCATGGAGACAAAGTTCATTCAATTGCACCAAAATAGTTCCTGAATATCTACTATATGTCAAGTACTGAACTAAGTGCCTGTGTGCAATCGTGAGGCAAAATGGACAAGTTCTTGCCTTCATGGAGCTAAGAGTATGGCAGATATCTGATATCTGTCTACAGCCATCCCACCTGAATGCGCCCCATCTAGTCTGATCTCTAAAGCTAAGCACGGCGGGCCTGGTTAGTACTTGGATGGGAGAAGACAGACATCAGCCAAGTAATTGTGATAATTTATGTTTTAAATTACAACTCCTACACAGAATGTTAAGGAGAGAAATATATGGTGCTAACACAAGCAAACCTGATGGCATGTGCAAAGGCCCTGTGATGGGAACAAAAGAAAAACGAGTGAGCTCAGAGCACAAAGAGGAGAAAGAGATGGGGCTACAGAGCAGGGACCACACCATCCAAGGGTGTGTAGTCTTTACTGAGGCTCTGAGCCTTCACAGTACAAACAGTGGGAAGCCATTAAAGGATTTTAAGCAGAAGGGTAACATGACCAGCTGTTCTGGGGATCAGCAATCATCTTGGAGGCCAGTTCTAGATCCCCAGTTTCTGTGCTTCATGCCCAGGCTAGAGCAGAGGCAGGCCTGCAGCATTGTAGCCAGCACTTTTTCCAGACCCTGTAGGTCAGTGGTTCTCCAAGTCTGATTCCCAGACCACCAGCTTCAGTGTCACCTGGGACCTTACTTAGACTTTCAAATTCTCAGGCCTCACCCCGACCTAAGGAATCAGACACTCTGGGGACAAAGTCCAGCAATCTGTTTTACCAAGCCCCAGGTGATTCTGACACAGGCTGAGAACAGGACCGAGAAACAGGAGAAAATGAAGGCTGAGAGACAGAATCGCTGACATTCCTTTCTTTGTTTGCTTACATTTCCCATTTAGGACAGAGGAAGCCATGTTGGTGAGGAGACATTTCTATGGACAAAATGCATCCAGTCAACAATGTTTTGAGTGTCTCCCGTGTGCCAGGCACCATTCCAGAGTATGAGGATTTGATGCTGAGTAAACTCACAGAGACCCAACTCCCATGAGCTAATTCCTTACGAGGCAGTGTCTGGGCAAAGAACGGAACCAAGGAGCCCAGCCTTCAGGCTGCGCACACTGTGTGCATGACACACCAGCTGTTGACATGTATGGCGCTCGTAGGTCCTCAAGCTACTCCACTTTGCCTCAAGGATGATTCAAGAATAAACGTCTTGGGCGCCTGGGTGGCTCAGTCGTTAAGCTTCTGTCTGCCTTTGGCTCAGGTCATGGTCCCAGGGTCCTGGGATCGAGCCCCACATCGGGCTCCCTGCTCCGCGGGAAGCCTGCTTCTCCCTCTCCCGCTCCCCCTGCTTGTGTTCCCTCTCTCACTGTGTCTCTCTGTCAAATAAATAAATAAAATCTTTAAAAAAAAAAAAAGAATAAACATCTTTCAGCACATGAATCCCAGGAAGCAGACCGGCTGCCATCATATGCTCACTCAAACAATCCATTTCACAACAGGGTCCCTGCTGGGGAAGTGACACTTTAGGGCTGCAGCCGCCTTGCTCCCTCTCACCAGGGGTCCCTGAAGCTGAGGCTCCCTGCTTTGCTTCACCTTGTCAGAGGTTCTCATTCTCCATTCGAGATGACATCGTGTCACCAGAGAGGTCACCCGGCAGAGCCAAAGTGACTTCCACATTTCACTGGAAATGCCCACAATCCTAAACCAATCCCACCCCACATCAGGGCACTCCCCAGAGGAGGGCACAAGATACATACTAAGAATTATAGGACAGACGTTACCGGACTGGTCTGGGGGAGGAGGGAGGACAGAACACTAAATGCTGCCACTGAAGAGGAAGCCAAGGATGGGGTCCATTTCTGTGTATTAAACCAATAACCCGCAAGGGTCTATGCAAAGTCGTGTGCAAATCAGAATTGTCTGTTTCTAAGGCAACAGCTCTGGGGCCTTCGGCAAGAGGTCTACATTTGAGTTTGGGGGAGCAATCTTCCTTCAGCACTTGTGGCCTTTTTGTGAACCCCGAAAGGGCCCTTCCGGCCCAGGACGGAGCTGCGCTCCAGGCTCCCGGTCGCCCCCTAGGTGAGCACTTGGGAACGCCATTTAGGACCGAAGGCCGCGCGGGGGAGGGGGAGAAGGGGTGGCGGCGGAGGGGAGAGTGAAAGGGAGCGTCGGCGGTCCCGGGGATAGGCCAGTCACCACCCTACCTCGTGAGGCCGGACTGGGCGGGAGGCGACCTCCTCGATGGCCAGGAGCTGCTTCAGCTCTGTGCAGAGCGCGGCGCGGTAGTGGCGGCCGCAACCCGGCCCCGCCCTCCTGCAACACAGAGCAAGCGGCGGGTTACAGGGGCCCCCCGGCTACCTTTCGGGGCCCAGGGGAGAGTCGGGGCCCCACCTGCAGAGCCACGCCCGAGGGATGCCCCGGCCCCAAGCCACCGCTGCCATGGCCCGGGGCAGGGCGGCGCGCGAGGGGTGGCCCAAGGTGGCAGGAAGCGCGGGACACAGCGCCGGCCCCGCCCCGGCCCCGGGGACCGCGGAAGAGCGTCCGGCGGGGCGACCACGGGCCGCAACCCGACCCGGGCGGGCGGCGGCGGCCGGGACCGCGCCCGGGTCACCCCCCCCCCCCGCAGGGCGCCCTGCTTCCCCGGGGGTCTGAGCCCTCTGGGCCCCCGGCCTCCCCGGTCTCCCCGGTGGTGGAGCTCGCTGGAGAGGAAAGAAAACAAATAAAAGGAATAGATCGGCGGGGATTAAGCTCTGTTGACATTTTACTAGCAAATTTGGGAGACTTTTAAAGCCACACCTGATGATATGTAAATAGCAGTTCTTGGGTCCCTCTGCACTGCGAAATCCTAAATGCACAGGTAAAGGCCTTAATGTCTGCATTAACACCTTGCTGGAGTTCAATTCTTGTTACTAATTTTCTCACATTTGCGGGACTATTTACACTAAAATTATATAGTTACTAGTAATCCACCGTTGAATGATCTTACACAGATCCAAAGAATACTTTTTTTTTTTTTAAGATTTTTTTTATTTATTTTGAGAGAGTGAGAGTACATGAGAGAGGGTAGGGCTAGAGGGAGAAGCAGGCTCCTCGCTGAGCAGGGAGCCTGATGCGGGCGGGACTCTATCCCAGGACTGCAGGATCACGACCTGAGCCGAAGGCAATCGCTTAACCAAATGAGCCACCCAGGAGCCCCAAAGAATACTTTCAATTAAAGGCAGGCCCAAAGCTGGTGGTTTTTATATTCCTGATGCCTCTATTATGCCTGGCACATAGCAGACGGTCAATAATTGACTCAATGATTACTTAGTTCCTTGGTGAACAGGTATACTCTGGAAAAACATAACAATATAATCTGTGAAATATTATGAAACTGGTTAGATTTCTGTTGCACCAGTAACCAAATATTTATGTATATTAGCAAGATAAGAGAAGCACATAATCCTGGGAAGAATATTTCATTTGACAGATGGCTTTTATACACACCTTGGTGTCTTCAAAAGACATCTGGTCAAAGAACATAGCCTCTCAGGTTCAAGCCCAGCTCTACCACCTATCTGTGTGGCTTTGGCATTACAACTGATGTCTGTGGGCCCCAGTTTCCTCCTCCATAAAGTGAAAGTATCAGACAGGATCATTCCCGAATTGCTAAATTCTTTCATTTTTTTGGTGGAAAATAGTCCAAGATAGCAAATGACCTGGAAGGAATGATCAGGGGTGGAACAAAGGGAAAATAGAGAGCAAAAATGAAGGAGCAATGAACTTCTGAGATTATGGCCTAGAAGCTTGGGTAGGAGAGGAATCCAAGAACCAGGCCCCCACCACAGGTGCTAAGTAGAGGTCACTGCCAGAGAATCTAAAAAGTCAGTTTAGCCCTTGACTCCATCGGGAGGGAACTCAGGCCTAAAAAGAACAAGGACTAGAAAGTGAGAAGATGAAAAAAGTTTATTTCCAGTGAACTGCTCCGTGAACTCTTAGTCATTGGGCACCTAAAATCAAGCCAGGAATCAAAATGAACCTTCTGGTTGCCAAATAACAGTGAGCAACAAGAAATCTCATGTTTATGAAGTGTGAAACAAGGATTGATTGTCCTGAGGACGAAATGAGTTGTTACATATGGAAAATGTTTTGTAAAATATTAGGTATTTATACAAGATATAATTTTCAATGGAACTCCTTGAAAGTAACAACCATTTCTTAATCTCCTTTATGTTTGAAGTACTTTGCACATGCGACACTTTTAGGCATTTAATACATGTTTTTCTAACAAATTGTTAAATGAGCACTCAATTATCTAGCATCAATTTTCCAGATAATTGGAAGTATCTTTAAGCATCAAGTCTTCTATTTTTGAGTAAGTATTTTTATGGAAATTTTTTCTATTGTGGTTTTTATAATAGCCTTATCATTCTCAGAGAATATGAAAATCAGTGAGTTTTGGGGAAATCTATCAATGCGGCATTCTACATGTCTAACAGTATCTGAAGAAAATAGTAAAAGTCCCTTTTAGAAGAATCTTGGAGGGAGATGAAAGTATCTTAACTAAATGAGGTGATTTTAAACATTTATATGCAAAATAACTTTCACATTTCCGAAGAGCTTCAAAGGTAAATGACAAGGCATTCAATGGTAGTTGCTATAGTAGCAAAAGAAATATTTAGCCTATCCATAGAGGAGCTGCCACCACACCATACTGTCTAGTTTTTGTTATCATTTCTGATTACTTTGTTTTAACTGAGGGTAAGATGGAAGAGTGGACAGGAAGAATAAAACTGGAGCCCTGGGGAAGACTGAGACCAAGCAGCGATATCTGAACGGATCAGTCGTCTGAGAAGAAAAAGAAAGAACCCAGAGCTGCTCTGCAAACCAGTTTGAGGGGCTCCCTAGGAAGTAGAAGAGTAACAGATGACTCTTCCTTCTGGTACAACTCACATGAACAGATAATACTGAACATCCAGAAGCTGCTAGAGGGCTGAGGGTGGAGAAGCAAGTCAGAGCTGAATACACAAGCAGCTATATTTTCACAGAATAATGGACAAATGATATACAAACAATATTACCACTGTACAGGACTATGCTGAAAAGGTAAAAGTATCCTCCACAGTTAGAATGCTTTATCCAACAGTTTGTCAGCTCCTCGAGAATAGAGACTGGGTCTCGGTGGCCCAGAGCTTACCACCATATCTGTGGCTAGCCTGTAGCAAGTGCTTGGTACATTACGAACCTGGGAAGCAAGGAGCCCTACAAGCTGAGTGGAGGAGCTCCCAGCACATTACTATCCCAAGGCACAAAACCAAAACATTTTAAGAGTTTGGACTCATTTCCCTGCCTAAATATGCAGCTGCTGGGTATGACCTGACCCTTCTTCTGACTGGTTTGTATTGCCATTGTAGATATAAATTATTACCTCCCGTCACAGGGATGTCCTCCAAGATTCCTGAGGTGTGGCGGAGTAGTTTGCCTTTTCACTGAATTCCCCCAAATGGCTCTTTCTGATTGTTGCAGTTGGGGTTAACCTATCAGCCTCAGAGATGAACTTTGGCTCTCGACACACATAGTACATACGGACCTTCCACTCTGTTCCAAGAACTCTATAAGCTATGCTATGTCACTTATTTGTGCCAACATTCATTGAATCCTAGAATTTCAGAGCTGGGATTGCTCTTCAAGATAATCTAATCAAAGTGCTTCATTTACAAGCCAGAAAGCTGAGGCTCAGGGAGAGACTGGCCCGAGGTCACAGAGCAGAGTTAGTGGCAAGAATAGCATTAGGATCTGGCTTTCCTGGGGCGCCTGGGTGGCTCAGTCGGTTAAGCATCTGCCTTCAACTCGGGTCATGATCCCAGGGTCCTTGAATTAGGTTCCCCGCTCAGCAGGGATTCTGCTTCTCCTTCTCCTCTGCCCCTCCCCCCCACCACCGCTCATGTGCAGCTCTTTCTCTCTCTCAAATAAATAAATAAGATCTTTAAAAAAAGAAAAAAAGGATCTGGCTTTCCTGATTTCCTGTTTGCTTCTCTTTCTACCGAGATGAGCTCTTTGGCATTCGCTTTGGCATTCGCTCAACACTAGACACCATAATAATAATATTTTGCATTTTCATAGCACTTGGTAAGTTGCAAATCACTGTCACCCAAATTGGTTCATCCTGCCATCGGTAAGAGTAATAATAATTATCATTACAACTAGCACTTATTGGTAACGTTACAAACCAGTCACTAGGTGCTTTTGCATTATTTCTTTAGTCCTCACGATTGTCCTGCTCCTGGTATACTATTATTTTCACTCGTTTATGGATTAGGAATGTAGGCTTAAGGAGGTGAAGTAAGTAACTTGCCCAAGGCCACACGGTTAGGAAATGGAGCTATTGAGAAGCCTCCAGAAGCCTGAGTGGCGACAGCGGTATCCGGGTACCCAGCCGCCCACTGTACCCCCCCTCACGCCCCCCTCCAGAGCAGACAGAGAAGCTTTTGTACGATACATTTTAAAGCCATGCTTTGCTTGCGGGCTTAAGCTTAATTTTATAGGAATTTTACAGTAGTTCTAGCCTAGAAAAGTGGAATTCCCTGAAGGAGGGAATACCGAGACAGCAGCCTCCAGGGGATGCGTGCGGTTGAGAGACAGAAGAGGAGGAGAACACAGCAGTAGGAGTTACTACCCTAATCCATGTAGCCAGAAGCTTGAAAATGTATCAATTTCATTTAAAGTATCGTATGTGAGATTAAAAGTGTGATTACAGGGGCGCCTGGGTGGCTCAGTCAGTTAAGCGTCTGCCTTCGGCTCAGGGCATGATCCCGGGGTCCTGGGATGGAGCCCCGTGTCAGGCTCTCAGCTCCGCAGGAGCTCACATACACACACAGATTTTAATGAAACAATGCTGACCAGGTTGCCTGGTGACCAGCCATTACTTCCAGCAGGTACCAGCAGGCATTTGGTCAAAATTCCTGGCACCCCGACGGGCCAATTTGGAACCAGTGGTGGCCCAGGAGCAAGCTGTCGTGGACCCCAAAACTAATCACCAGTCTTTGAAGCCAGGATCTATTTTCCACCTTAAACCATAATTGTGGAACCAGTTGACAAGTTCCCAAGCATTCTGGCAACTTTATGAAGCTTTTCCAACCCCTCCTCCCCCAGAGAGAACAAATTCTTCCCTTCCATATGTTTTCCCCAGAGAACTTTGTTATAAACCTGTATTCGCTCGCTAATCTCATTGCTCAGGTAGTATTTATCTGTCTTTCTATCCCAGCAGCTGAGCTGTGAGCATCGTGGATGGTTCTGATGCTAGCATAGCAAAGTGAAAAGAATTGGGGCCTTGAAATCACCTGCACCTGTGTGTGATTCTGGACTTAGCTCCTTACTTATTGGGACCATGGGAAACTATTTAACTTCTCTGGGCTGCCATATCCTCATATGGAAGGCAAGCATAGTAATCCCCACCTGGGGT